CCACACTAAAACAAATACTAGAGAAAAGAGGGTATGATCTCAGATGGACATTTAGAGGCGTGGGTAGGAATGGACAGCAATATTTATGTGGGTAAACCTAAATATGGACGAGACGAACAATTATCCTGGACTTTGGCTAGAGGCCCTGTGCACTATTAGCATAAACTTGGGCTTTGGCCCTGCTCTCTCCCCTCCCACAATATTTCATTTCCTTCCAGCCAGGGCCTTTGCAGATGCTGTTCCCTCTGCTTGAACATGCTCTTCCCTACCCTCATGCTCCACTTTCTTTTTATTAAGGCCTACTCATCCTTCAGACAGCAGTTTCAATTCCACTTCTCAGGAAAGACTGATATGCCCTTCAGGATGAGCCAGGACCTCCCGCAACACCCTGTACCTTTCGTTCACTGCACTTAGCAGTTTTAATCTTCTCAACATTTGCACGACTTTAATCGAGTTCCCCTTTATAGATTTAAGACTGCTTACATTCCCTATATACTTAATCAATTTTTCCTTTTTATGGGAAAAAAAGAAGAAAAGAAACTGTGACTTAACCATTATTCTCTAGTGAGTCACCCCAGGATCTGCCTATAACATTTTTAGAAAAATAAGTTTCACATTACTGAGGCAAATGGAATGTGCAGTGCTTGCAAAGTCCCCATGAGAATTCCATTTGAAAACTGTGCCAGCTTATGGAATCATGGTAGATACGATTCTCCTCAAGAGCAGCAAACATGACCGCTGCACCTGACCCATAACGCAGCGTTGTCAAGACTGGACCTCACCACAGCCAACCATTTCTCCTTGAAGGTGCCAGAGGATCTCCTGCCCTAAAGCAGACACTTTGATGTGTGTGCACACAGCATCTGTCTACCTGTCGGAAAAGACACAGAGTAGAAAGGGAAAGATCTACTGTGACATATGGGAAAAAAGAAATCAAAGAAATGTCATAAGCAAAGGGCTGAAACCAGAGAACTCAGATGCTGAGTCCTCAAATGCTGAGTCCTTGTGCTTGAGCACGAAGAGAGAGTAAAGGAACTCAGTGGGCGGTGAGTTGTGATGTTTCCTTGTGTCCTGTAATTATTTATCTTATAAAAAAACTAAAATTAGGCATGGCCTAGAGAGTGAGTCCTCTTCTACCTTGCTAAGTATATAAAACTTGAAGACTAACTGCTTGAGGACAGGGAACATGGACCAGCATGGTACTGCCACACAACAGGTGCTCAATAAGTATTATTGAATGAATGAAAGAATGAATGAACAAATGAATGAACCAGAGGTACTCATAACACTTGCTAGACAAGAGAATCACCTCCTAATAAAAATGAGGCAGCATCAACTACCCAATCATAGCTCCCAAGTCACCTAGCACTTCATTGTCTTAAGGACAGGCTTCCCTCAAAATCCATGACTTAGCCAAAGTATGTCACATTTCTTTAGCCTGGATTTTTCTTATCCATTTCCCTCCTTTAGACATCACCTTCCCTATAATCACGTAGAGCTAAAGTTCAACAGCCTTTGGGAGTGAAGGAATATGGATGTAGGAGAGGACTCTGCCTCAGATACCATGTTCTCGTCCTCAGGCTTCTCTTGGCCATGGGCCAGGCAGAGACAGTGGGGACATCCAGAGAGAGCAAGTCAGTGGGCCACAACTCACTAGGATGTTTCTTTGCAAAGAAAAAACAGACCTTCATTCAAACAAACTCAGTAATCAACAAGATAAACAGCAGCACAGTTATAAGCACATAATAGTATCCTACATAAGATAAAGAGCTGGTTTCATGGGTAGTTAGAGTCCTTGTGAATGGGCAGAGTGGTAAGTTACTTAGCCAGGAACTCAGACAGCTGTCCAATGCAGCACATATAAATATACACACGCACACAAGAACTTGAGTTCACACAGATCACCTAAATTTACATGAATACTGCTCAATAAAACTTGTGTCAGACTGCAGTGCATGTCAGCTTTCAGAGGAGTAACCTGTTTTCACTCATCTAGGATGATGAGATTTGAAAGACATTAATTTATACATTTTCAGGTTATTAGAGTAAAAAAAATCTATTAGAGACTTACAAAACCATCATTTCAAAAATAGGTGAGCATAAGAGCTTCAAACTTCATGACCTTAATCAAGAAATTGTATCTGCCTAATTCTTGGGAAAATATAATATAAATTCATTCTAATGCTAGGGGAGCCATGCCAAGATGCGATCTAACTTGGAGACTTTCATTCTGGGAGTGAGAGCTGCATTTTGTGCTGGTGGCTGCATGTACAGGTAACACACAGGGCCCCCGAGCAGGGGTACAGGGAAGGCCGCTAGGGCTGCTTTATTTTTAACTTCACGAGCTCATCGAGGCAATAAACCCCCTTTTTATGTACGTGTACCAAAAATAATGACACAAGGGCTTCATTTATTTGGGGTGTTCCAGACGTGATTGGCATTCCTGCAGCTTGGCAGATGCAGAGTGAAGACTTTTTTAGTAGCAAGTCATGCTATGAAGCCTATTGATAAGAAGACGTAACACCACAACTCTATTCTGACCCATTCAAAATAGGCAGAATCAGAAAATGAGGTTGTGTAATTATCAGTAATTTTTTTAACGAAACAGTAACAATAATGATGACTTCCATGCACAGGGCTTCACACAGTGCAAAGACCTGTATTCACAAGTGATCCTTAAGTTGTTGGATAATTGTCCCTACGTAGCAAAAGAAAGTGCGGCTGGCGTCAGAGTGACTGTTGGGGATGCGTGTTGCTGCAGATGCAACATCAATTTCCCAAGACCGTCCACCCAGCCCAAGTGATGTGTAGATGTGACAATCATCTGAATCGACAGAGGCTGCCACACTGGGAATTTTCCACCTGGTGTACAAGATATGCAATGTGTTTATGCTGAGAAAACGGATTTAAATCATGCCACAGCGCTACTTCCCTCTATACTGTTGTGACAATCAAAATGCACTAGATCCAAACACCTTCCGGGGTGAGGTGCCCTGCAGCGGGGTGAGGCGGCTCTGTGCAGGATCACTGGCCTCTGGTCTGCAGGAGCTCGGCGGGTCCTCCCCCACATCCAAGGCTGTCAGTGAAAAGCAAGCCCTTTGGTGCTGACCTTTAGGAATAAGAACAATTCTAATGGCCTTTTACCTTGACCTCTGCTGTCCCCTCTCCACCTAGGTATGCAGACTGTGGCATGTGCACCCAAGTTACAGGCATGGGATATTGAGGAGAAAAATGCTCTCTTCCCCCAGTTCTCTTCCTCTCTCCTTCCTTCCCTTCATCTCCCCCCCCACAACCTTGCCTCTACTCTCTGCTCCCCTCTCATTCAATATATGTGTGTGTTATAAAGAAAACAAAGAAAATCATTATTTTGTTCCAGAACTCATACAATTCAAGGAAATAAAATAATGTCTGTAAGGAAGGACGCCATAAGCTCACTGGAACACAGGACAATAGACACTGGATCTATTCTGTGCCCAGGGGTGGCAGGTGTGGCATGGCCTCCTCCAGTCCTCCCATCACCTCTCTGCTCTCAGACAACCACCTATGAGAAGGCAGCCACCTTCCTGAAAGGGGAGTAGCCTCCAGCACTTTCATTCTCAGGAAACTTACTGCAGAGAGAAGACTTTCTTGTCTTCCCCAAAGTGGCTTACGGTGCTCGGAACACCACGGGGTGCTGATCAGGGGCCCTCGTCCTTGTCATCTCACCAAGCAGCTCCCCTGGGCCTGGCACCCGCACGGGCTCCCAGCACATGTACAGCACATAGTCAAAGCTGCCTAAGAAACACATACACTTCTTTTACTCTAAGCCGGCAAAGGGCAATGATTAGGTGGGCTGCATCCCCATCTGAGTTGAGGCTGGTCCCAGGAAGAACGAAAATTAATGCTGAGAACATCCCAGGTTTTGGGCTAGGCACACCCAGGTCCTGTGAACCCTCTCGCTCCCCCACCAAGAACATTTGCATGACTCTCCTGCCTTCCTTGGTGTGTGCACCTGTGACCTGCAGTGTGGGACATTATGGGGACATGTCGTCTCTGCCCTGCACATTAGCTTCAGCTTTCTTGTTATTTGTTCTTAAAGGCTCATTGTGATACCTCAGGGCCTACATGTCTTGTGAACTACTTTCCTGGGACCTTCCAATTGTTCTTTTTAGCTGGGCACTGGCTTACCCTGCTCACTGTGCAGTGACAGGACCACGCGGCAGGTAAACATTTTATAAATTAGTGAGCCTCATCACCCATGCTTAGAAAAAGCACTCATTAGATAACAAATCTCTTTTACTAAGGTCTTTTACTTTATTAGCTTTCCTTAGAATGTTGAAAATAAATGTTCCTCCAATGCTTGATTTTATTTGAGCCATTTGGTAAGATTTTCTAACAGAGTGTTCCCGTGTGAATCAGATGCGTGGGCTGATTGGGTTTGACACAAATATCTCCCCATTTTGTAATTCAAAGACATCACATTTGGAGTGTGAGGACATGGAGCACTGTGAGCATGCACTTGGTTAGTTATGTGAAGACACCTAAAATCCCAAATTATTCCAGCCTCTCTGTATTTTAAAGATGTAAAAAAGCGGCAATGTCCCCATTTTCTTAAATAGTTTTGTGGGGCTGGGTGTAGTATATAGATACCCCACACCATTTAACACTTACTGACTTTTGCATTGTCTCATGGGTCATAGCCAGCCTCCTCATTAGACTCTGATGTCTGAGAACAATACCAATGAATTTCACTATTTCTGTATATTCCAGAGTGCCCAGTGTCCAATAGGTTCTTAAATGCACTGCGGTTAAGACAGTGCAACATATAAACCACGCACTTCTCCTGCTGTCCAGGCTCATTTGTGGACACAGCACTGCGCGGAATTGTCATCATTGAGGGAGCACTGCATGAATCCCCTTGCTGGCTGACGTGCAGGAAAGCGAGCAGAGGGAGGCAGGCTGCGTTGATCAGGCCGGATCCTGTGAACAAAGGGGGATGAGGAAGTTTTCTCAAACTTTACCTTCTAGTAAGGCAAAGCATGATGACCATGGCAGCTGACCACATGACAGGAACTGCTGTAAATATTTCACATACATCTGCTCTCTAAATGTTAGCGGCATTGAATATTACAAGTACTTCTTCCAGGCCAGGCAATTCTAAGTTGTTCATGAAGACGCAGAGTCACCAGGTGGCAGTCGGCAACAGCAGGAGGCACAGGCACAGGGCAGGGTGGAGGTGGAGCCCTGAGGTCTGGTATCCGTGAGCCTGGGGGCCAGGGAGGGACTCCTTTCTGAGTGTGTTTGCTGGGTGCTCTTGAGGTAGTAGCAGGATTTCCAGATCTCTGACAGCAAGGTCAGGGAGGCATACAGCTGGGAGGCTCTCTTCCATCTCTGTCTCGCCAAATTTCTCTCAAAGGGCCAAGGTGCTGCAGGTCATAAGCCACTGAGAATAGCAGCTGCCCTCTAGTGTCAGGCAAGTGCGAAGCGCCTGACACTCAGTCACGCTGGGCTCTGAGGAAAGACAAGGTGCTGGAGAGCCCTCCGCCCATGCTCTCGCTGCAACTGTGGCCAAGTGTGACACAGCCACCCACGTGCGATGGAAGAACCCGCCTGCCCCACTGATTGTGCCCCTGAGGGAGGAAAGCTCCCTGAGTGCTCTGTATGACAGCTCGAGACACTGAGAGGTAAACCAACCTGGAAGACCTGTGCCTCACCCTCAGGATGGCTGTCAGTGCTATTTCAGAGATCCTAATGGCTTTGTGGCTGACACATCAGAGGGGGCACCCTTGGCATTTGCCTGAAACTGGGGGGCACCTGTGACTGGGGAGGCTCTGGCTCTGCTTTCTACCCAAGGCATCCCAGTGAGATGGAGCCCATGACGGTGGGATAAGCACTGGCCCACGCTGATATGCCCACCTGCCAGGGGATGTTCAGAGTCCTCATGGATGGCATGCCAGGTCCCCTGCCACTCAAAGTGTGGCCTGGGGGCCAGAAGCCTCAGCACCACCTTGGAGCTTGTCAGAGGTGCAGACTCTTGGCTCCACCCAGACCTATGGACACAGAATCACAATGGAACAAGGTCCCCAGGTGATTCTGCTGCACATGAAAGGTTGGAAACCATGATTTAGATCAGTTGTCCTTGACCTGACTGCATGTCAGAATCACCTGGGGAGCTTTCAAAACTCCTGATACTCAGGCCATGCCTCAGCCCAGTTGCTGGCAGTGGGGACCCAGATTTTAGTATCTTTTTTAGCCCTGCAGATATTTCAGAATGCATCCAGGGTAGAGAACCACTTGTTCTGGAGGCAAGTCAAGACCTCTGAGTGTGGCCCTCATGTCGTTAGACGAGCCTTCAGCTGGGGCACCCGCAGGAATACTCCTCGTGGGTAACGATGCGGTGGTCACCCACAAAGACAAGGAGCTTCCATGAGCCTGGTGCCTGCACCATCCAAGTGGTGGGAGCATTCGTGGCTCCATGGTCATGACCTGGTGGTGGGAGCTGGGCACATCACATCACTGCTGGGGAGAGGGCGCTCTTATTGACCCAGGCCCTTTCTAAGAGGTGCTCTTCCACTACAGGCTCAGGGGAGCCCAGAAAGATCCATCTAATCATGACTAAGCTATACTCAGAAGGGCTGGACAACTGGAGTTCCTGGGAACCCATCCTAGGAGGTTAGAGACCACTTAGACTGTATGCTGCTTGAACCGGTGGCAGAGGCAGCAACTCTATTCCCAGCACTATTATGCAGAGAAGGCTTTTCCTCCAGAAGGATGGAAACTATGTTCATCCAGCTCAAAACCTGCCAAGGCCTGAGTCTTAATACACAGTGTGGCCAAGACAGGAGCTAAGACATGGTCCAGGTCTAAGCTGGTGACTGAAGTTCCACACCCTGGAAAGAGTGGTTGTTTCAGGGACAGGCATGCAACTCATCTCAGGCCAGGGAGAGTGAGGTTCAGGGCCTTTATGCAATTGTGGAAATAGGATCTTTATTTTCTGTTGGGTCTGAGAAGATGTGAGTTTAGAGAGGAAGAAATCACCAAGAGATGGAGAGAAAAAAGCAAATGTACCTGGGGACTCTTGTTCAGAGTCCTGGATCCAGCTGTTCCTGAAGTCAGTATCCATGATTTTCCAGTTACCTGAGCTGCAAGGTCTGTCTCTCTGGTGCTTTATAACCAAACAAGTCTTTGCAAGCACTCTATGCTAAGAAAAGAGTCCTAACTAATTCCCTGAGCAAACAGGGGTTGGATGAGTGGTATCAAATGATTTGAACCTCTGGAGCTGCTTGGACATGCTTTCTTTGTTTCTATTTTTAGATCTATAGAACAAAGGGGTTTGGTAAACTTTCAGGATAGCTGAAATGATATACAAATAATGAGGGCAAACAATAAGGCAAGGATCAGTAAAGGAAGAATATGTTCACTGTGGATTTGCTCCAGGCAGAAGCATGATTCCTTTGTATCAGTGTCACCACTGAAGAGCTCAGTAATCAGCAAAATGAGCAAACTCTGAGCTATGAACCATTCCCTGCACATGCCTTTTGTGTCCTGGTGGCCTCACTTCTTCCATTAGGTGGAAAACAATCTGGTAAAGGATGAAGGGCAAGACCTGAGAAAGAGACAACCCAGGCTGAGCCATGAGAAAGAGACAACCCAGGCTGAGGCATGTAGTGGCAGGAAGATCCTTGGGTGGAAAGAGCTGCGAGTGGTGCTTAGGAAAGCCAGCCTCAGATGTCTCACATGGCGCACTGGGCCGCAGTGTGGGCAGGGAGGCAGAATGCCTCCTGTGCTTCAGGGGTGGTCTGGGGTGGGGCAGTTCACAAACACAGAGGGACCACAACAAGGGAGGACTCAACACCAACCCAGAGCGACTGGTGCAGAAGTGGGAGGATGGGGGGTCTTGATGGGCCTGAGAGATGGCACTGAGGTCTGGCAGCATTTCTCCCATCCCAATACCAAGCACCACATCCCAGAACCCAGATGCTACCCACTGGGTGCTGAGGGCTGAATATAACACCATGTGGGCTGAGAATAAGACAGGTGGCCAGAGGCCACTGGCAGGTCCAAGCAGGAATGAAGCCGAGTTAGAGAAAAACCAAGTTGTTTTCAGGCACCTACACTGGTGGCCTGAGACCTGCACCTGGGGCTCAGCTCACAGCAGGCACTGGATGAGAGATGGCAGCACATGCTCCCATCCACCACTAGTCCCATGCCACCTCGGGAAGACTGTGTTTGTACAACACTAACACAAAGTGCAACTTGTTTGACTGACTGGAAGTGATAACATTCTATCTAAATCCAAATAGGGGAATAACCCCGCTCTGAGTAGAATAGAAAGAGCTCCAAGCTACTGTCTGCGTTGGAGTCCAGGTTGTTACTTCTCAGCTGGGCCTCGGTTTCTCGCCTATTAAGAGACCTGTTGTACAAGCTGCTGTGAAGGAGCAGCTGAGATGACATAATGCATGAAGGAAGGGGGGCCTAACAGGAGATCTCACTGCTCACCACTATTTTTGACATCACTCAGAATGCAGCACACGCACACACACCCACACCACCTCCAAACAAGGCCTGCTCTGGTTTACTGCTCTCGCGTTGAGTCTTCTCTTGTTGTGGTCCCTCTGTGTTTGTGAACTGCCCCACCCCAGACCACCCCTGAAGCACAGGAGGCATTCTGCCTCCCTGCCCACACTGCGGCCCAGTGCGCCATGTGAGACATCTGAGGCTGGCTTTCCTAAGCACCACTCGCAGCTCTTTCCACCCAAGGATCTTCCTGCCACTACATGGCTCAGCCCGGGCTGTCTCTCTCTCTCAGGCCTTGCCCTTCACCCTTTGCCTGTCCCTAAATCACTGAGATTTGGAAATAGTGCTGCCCACAGGAGACGATCTTTGGCTGGCTAACAGAAGTTCCCCCACAGATGCCCAATCCACTTGGCCAGCCGAGGGAGCAAAGGGACCTGTGGGTTGGAACCTGGTGCTAAGGAGGCAATGGAAGTGCAGGGCAACCCTGTCTCTTCCTGCTGGGAACACCTGCCCCTTTCCGCTGGGATGAGCAGCACCAAATCTGAGAGAGCCTGGATCTGTAGAAAATTACCAGCACCAGTCAAATGATGCAGAGGCCTGCGCAGCTCAGACAGACAGGAGTGGGGCTCAGTGCAAAGGAACAAGGCATGGCAATGGACAGATAGAGACAGTGACTAATCACAACCTTGAGTGCAGGCCTTCAGCAAAGAAGCATGCAGGGCTGAAAGGAGGTGAAAAAGGAGTTAGATGGTGGGGCTGGACCTAAACCCCACTCTCATCCACAGTGAGAGAAAGCCAACCTGCCTGGCCACGCCACAAGTACACACTACCCCATCACTGCCACCCACCTGCTGGGACTTGAAAAATGGGGAGATGAATCTGGGCCTTCCCAAAAGAACTGCTAGACTCCGTGTCCCTTCTTCAAACCCTGGAAAAGTCACTGAGTTGACTTCACCTCACAAGGAGGACAGTGAGAGGGCACCTAGCACAGAAAGCAAGAGTGTGGAAAGGGCAGCAATCGGGCGTTTGCACCACAGGACTATCAGAGGGAAACTGAAGCCCAGTACAGGGACCACAGTTTACAGAGATGATATAGTCAAGACAGTCACTGAAATATGTGTTTGGGTTGATTTTTCAGCAACTGTCAAAGGGGGCATACAACGTGTAGCTCAAGTAACATGGCACCTTATCTTCAGCCTTGACATCATTACCCTGTCCTAGGGCCGATTTAAAGGCCTCTTCTTCAATCTTGTGCTAAGGAGTTACTAAACTAAGGGTGGGGGGACATCAGTGGGAAGACCAACCCCTTTTGACAAAATTATGATAAAATACATAGCAACTGCATCTTCAAAGTTTGTCAGCAGGAACAAATAACAGCCAAACACCACACTGATGCTATTTGAAGAATGTTTACACTTTATATAGAATTAAATAATTATCACAAAATATAATTGTCAGGGTATGATAAGAATATTAAAAAATTAACTCAGTTAAAGCTGCATAAGGAAAAATGGAAAATGCAGATAAAC